AAGATTATTTATAAATTTATTTAAATAAATAAGATACAAATAAACTATTTTTATATATTATTAATTTAATTAATCAATAATCATTACTATATATAATAATCAAAATTTTATTAAGTAAATCAATCTTTAGTTACTAAGTAAAAATATTTTAGAGATCAAAAACTATATACTATAAAAGTTTCATTTAAATTGAATAATTTTTTATTAATACATTTTTCTAATTTACCATTAATGAATATCATTTTTAAAAACTTTTTAAATTTTTTATTTAATATAAAATACAAAACTGTATTAGTAAAAAATTAACTAATTTAAATAAATTTTCAGAATAATAGTATTTTGATCTTGCGAACATTTTTATTTAATAGCAAAAAATCGATTTGCATAATAAAATTTTGATTTTAATATATAATAACAATTGTCGATTATAAAAATATCTTATTATTGGATTAAAATATTCAAATTTAATCATTAAATCCGAATTAGATTGTTAGATTCAGACTTAAATGTTAAATTTAAGTTTAATAAGATCCAGATTTATTAATAATATGAACCAGATTTGTGGACCTTACATTTAGATCTACTAATTACAAAAATTAACTAAGTAATTATTCTGCAGATTTGATATATAATGATAAGTATAACGTTCTAAATTCAAATAAATAATCAGAGTTATAATATTTTAGAACGCATTACAAATTAAACCTACAAGATTCTCTGGTGCAATTGCATTGTCTTGATAATTCATTCCGATTTACATACTTTTTCATTGATTTTATTAAATCTTATTATACAAATGGAGTTTTGGGATTTCGGGTAGGGTTTCGGTTTTCGGATAAGGTTTCGGGTTTCCGAAACTTTCGGATTTGGCCAAAAAGGTTTTGGTGACTAAGTTTAGCACACAGCAAAACCATGCTTTGAGTATATGTAAAACAGAAACTCAGAGCATGGTTTTGCTGTGTACCAACCCAATTGATTTATGTACGTAAAAAAACCCCTCATTTTCGGCCCTTTTCCCAGCATCAAGCCCACATTTATTTAGAAGTGATCTTCATGTAACAAAACTTTATCAGTTATAAAAAAAGCTTTATTGGTATTACCGCGCTAAGCTTCTCTTGAATCTTCAAACATGTCAAATAAAGATTTATTTAAAAAAATTGATTTTTTACAAAAATATGAATATTCTTCTCTTGAGAACAAAACTGATATCAGTAAAGGACAGTTTGGAGCTATATGTAGAGCTTATTTAAAAGATAAAGACCAAACGGTGGCTTTGAAGACTTTATGCTATTATGACGACGAAAAGTCGTTAGACAATTTGATTAGGAAGGTATGTATAATTTTTGATGATTTTTGTTACAGTACATATTATTCATGTCGTAATCATAATTAATCATTTAAAATTTTAATACTACAAATTGCAAGGTTAAATACACTACTGAAGTTAATCACGATAATATAATAAAATTCTTTGGAATTACTCAAGGTATGTTAATTTTTATAAAAAGGATAAACATTTGCTTTTAAATATCTAATTATTGAGAAATCCTTTAAAATTCACAAAATAGATTTTGAAGCCAAAACATATTATATAGTTCTTCAGTACGCAGACAGTGGAGATCTCCAATGTTATTTGAAAGACCATTTTTTAAATTTAGATTGGCCAACTAAAATTAGAATGGCAAAAGAAATTTCTAGCAGAATTAATTGCTTGCATAGTGAAAATATTGTTCATCGGAATCTTGTAAGAAAATTTTTTTCATTTCTTTTTGTATTACTTATTATTAACATACTAGATACACATTATTGATAAAATTTAGCACGATAAGAACATACTAGTACATGACGGTAGAATGATTATTACAGACTTTGGTTTATCAGAGTCATTAGATAACAACTCAAAATCCATAAATAGTAGAGTATATGGGAGATGGGAATATTATGATCCACAATTTCTTCGAAATTCTTTCGCGTATGAATGGAAAAAGCCTTCAGATATCTATAGTCTTGGCGTTCTTTTTTGGGAACTGTCAAGTGGCATACCTCCTTTTAGAGACTTGAAACGAAAACACGTAATCGAATGTGTTCGAGAAACTCCAATTGAAGGAACTCCTGTTGATTTCAAAAATCTTTATTGTGCTGCTTGGGATGATAAACCAGGTAACCGTCCCGACATCAAAGGCATTTGCGAAAAGTTAGATCATATGCAATTAACACCAGTTTATAAAAAAGTGTCTGAAAAAAACGCTTTTAGAAAACAATGCAAATATTCTTCTTTTGAGAGAAAGGTAGAAATCAGTAAGGGAGGGTTTGGAGTTACGTATAAAGCTTATTTCAAAAATGAAAAACAATCAGTAGTTTTGAAGACCTTAGGTAATGATGCCGAAAAGTCATTTTATGATTTTGATAGAGAAGTATGTATTATTTTTGTTTCAGCATATTTATTCATGTTGCAATTATGATCCTTTATGTTATAATGCTACAAATTATAAGGTTAAATATACCAAAGATATAATAGAATTCTTTGGGATTACTCAAGGCATGTTAATTTTTATAAAATGGATAAACACATATTCTTAAACATCTAGTAAACTTAAATTCATAAAACAGATCCTGAATCCGAAACATATTATATGGTTCTTCAGTACGCAAACAGTGGAGATCTCCAATGTTATTTGAATGACCATTTTTCAAAATTAGATTGGTTTACTAAAATTAGAATGGCAAAGGAAATTTCTAACAGGATTGATTATCTGCATAGTGAAAATATTGTTCATCGGAATCTTGTAAGAAACTTTTTTTCATTTCTTTGTATTACTTATTATTAAAATACTAGATACACATTATTATTAAATTTAGCATGATAAGAACATACTAGTGCACGATGGTATAATGATTATTACAGATTTTGGTTTATCAGAGTCATTAGATAACAGCACAAAATCTGTAAAGAGTAGAATACATGGAAAATGGGAATACTGTGATCCACAATACCTTCAAAGTCCACTCACGTATAAATGGAACAAACATTCAGATATCTATAGCCTTGGTATCCTTTTTTGGGAACTTTCAAGTGGCGTATCTCCTTTTAGAGCTTTGGGAGCATATCATGTAATCAAAGGTAATCGAGAAACTCCAATTAAAGGAACTCCTGTTGATTTCGAAAATCTTTATTGTACTGCTTGGGATGATAAACCGGGTAGCCGTCCTAACATTAAAGAAATTTGTAAAACATTAAAAAATATGCAGTTAAAACAGTTAGAGCTATTTTGTAACGACTTTAAAATTTTCGAATATACTTCTTTTGGGGAACTAATAAAAATTGATGAAGGAGGGTTTGGAGCTATATATAAGGCTTGTTTAAAAGATACAAACCAATTTTTGGCTTTGAAAAAGATTTTAGATGATGCCGAAAATTCATTTTATGATTTTGTTAGAGAAGTATGATTATTCTGTATTATTTTCTGTTACAGTGTATATTATTCATAATCTTTATGTTTTCTTACTACAAATTACAAGGTTAAATGCACTACTAAAGTTAATAACGATTATATAATAAAATTTTTTGGAATTACTCGAGGCACGTTAATTTTTATAAAATGGATAAATGTATATTCATAATATCTAATCATTGAGAAGTTTCTTAAATTGTAAATTAGATCCTCAAACAGAAACGTATTATATGGTTCTTCAGCACGCAAACAGTGGAGATCTTGAACATTATTTGAATGATTATTTTTCAGAATTAGATTGGTCAATTAAAATTAGAATGGCAAAAGAAATTTCTAATGGGATTAATCACTTGCATAGTGCTAATATTGTTCATCTGGATCTTGTAAGAGACTTCATTTTTTTTATATCATATGATTATTATTTATTATTAACATACCGGACAAACGATATTGATAAAATTTAGCACGATAAGAACATATTAGTACATGATGGTAGAATGATTATTGCAGATTTTGGTTTGTCCAAGTCATTATATGATAGCACAGAATCTATTACCAATGAAGTACGTGGAAGACATGAATATTCTGATCCACAATACTTTCTAGAGCAGTTCAATTATAAATGGAACAAGCATTCAGATATCTATAGTCTTGGTGTCCTTTTTTGGGAAATTTCAAGTGGCGTACCTCCTTTTAAAGATTTTAGGAATGAACGTATAAAAGTATGCGTGGGTCTAATTGGAGATAAACGAGAAATTCCGAAAAAAGGAACTCCCATTGATTTCTATAATCTTTATGATGCTGCTTGGGATGGTAAACCGGATAGTCGTCCTGGCATTGAAGAAATTTGCAATAAGTTAGATCACTTGCGATTAGAACCAGTTTTGGGGCAGGTGCTTTATTACTCATATATTGAATTTTTCAAGAAATGTAATTGTTGAATTTCCCAAGTTTTCAACTATGCTAAATTATTAAAACTATTCCTAAACTTCCAGATGTAAGCTTAAACATTTATATATTTATTCTTGTTGCTTAGTCAGAATGCTTAAATGAATTAATAGTACTTTAAATAATAGAATAACGTGGGTACAGTATATGGTTTAATTAGGCATGTCAATAGATTAATGCTAAATAAACGGTTATGCCAACTATTAGGACGGACTGGGCGAAGTATAAAGTTTTATCACAAATATTTGTTATATTATTTCTTAACATGACCTGACTATCAAATAATTTAATAAATACATTATTTACATACAAGTCTTAATATTGGAATGTGAGTATAGAATATAATTATCCATGTTTAGAACTGGTATTAAATTTCAATATTTCGAATATCGCACAATTTACATAAACTATCAGGAAGTACGTATAAAATTCTGATAAATTAATTTTTTATAACTTATAAATTATTAACTAATAATTACCAAATTTAACAGTCCGTGAGTATAAATTCTGATAAATTAATTTTTCATAATTTAGTTCTAAATAAGTGATTAATAATTACATAATTCACTAGTACGTGAGTATAGTGTATATTCGAAATTTTAAAAGTTTTGCTTAATCATAATTCGACGATAACAAGTTACATCAATTCTTAGTTCGTGAGTATAATATTACAAAAACAATTATAGGACTTGGTGAAACACGCGTAAATCCTCTAACTAGATCACGTTATGGTAAAAACTGCGTTTAGCTAGGTTATTTTATTACACTTCACCATCATATGATCTACGTAGCGGATTTTACTAATCCACAACGCGGGTTTCACCATGTCGTAAAATATTATTCATTGCCAGTGCATGCATCTTAGAAATCAACAGTAACCAACTTTGAGAATAGGTTTAGATATGACACTAGTATTCACAATTTTAAGTTACACCTAATCCTACATTCTGAGATAATGATGCGATGTCACTTGACAAAGTTTAGCGAAATTTTGATGATAACAGATCAATTATAACTCTTTCAGTAAGCTTCACTGCTCTGGATCAGTGACAATATCTAAATTTTTTTGTTCTCTGAGAACATTAATTTTGATTTTTAGATTCTCAAAAATTTTGTGATATAATTTGTCAATTTTATTTACTCATGATCTTTAGTATTGTGTTCTCACAATATTTATTGTTTGTTTTATATGAATATGTGAATTTTTGGCATAATAAAATATTGAGAAAACTCATTTTGGCATCGGATTTTCAATAATATTTTGTGGACAGTTAGTCATTTGCGGAAAGACCATGATAGATTTTCCATAGACGGCTAACTGTACACAAAATATAATTGCACGTCCAATGACATCCAAATAATATTGACATTTATCATGCGAAATAACAAGTTTTTTCATCATTTGTCATATGTAAATCAAAAATCGCTTGGCAAAATTCTTCGTCATTCATCATTTATGAATGCCGAAGCATTCATCGAATAATACTAGTGCACTGGCGATAAATTACATGTCTCATATAATAATTAATTTTAAACAATTATGTAATTTATATCAACTTTCAGAAAGTGAGTTTAAAAGTTTGGCCGCATTAACCATTCATAATGTTCTAATGCTAATCATCCCTTAAACTATTACTATTAGAGAGTAAGTATATATCGAGTTCATGTATAGCTTTCATTTTGTGAATTAATATCTCACATTGAATTAATCTAACTTTATTTATATAAAATTATGTCGATTAAACAAGAATGTACGTATAGAGCTCGCTATTTATTTTTACTTTTCCACTACGAATCAGTGTTAAATAATTGATTATTGCATAATTAATATCAACCAGCATGTGAGTGTAAAATTTGTATATTTTACGGCATCCTCCTCTACAGTCAATTCCTATATAATTACATCCTCTTTATAAGCAGCATTTTATGAAAGATTATATTTATTTATAATTGCGTTACTATTAAATTTTGTAATGACATCCTTTTTATGTAAAACAAACCTGTTATAGAGGAGGACGATTGTATTTATTAAATCAAAATTTTAATGTCAATTTATTGATTCAACTGCACAAAAATTGCTTCAATTACCAGGGAGTAAGTATAAACTGACAGTTTACGCTTATCGTTAAAAAAGAATACTTCAAATTACATAAATATCATCAATTTCCAGCATGTAAGTAAAAAGTTCATGTATATATTTTTAAATTGTATAAGTATTTAATGTATAAATTACACGTTTTCTAGCATGTAAGTGTTAATTTATAATACATAATTAAATTTCAACTACCAAATTATACATCTTAATTTAAAATTTAAAACATCGATCGGTTTACAAGCAAGTAAGTTTCATTACAAGCCTTTATCGATTTTCCAAATATTATTCTAAATAATAATTCAAATTATCACAAACACCAGCGAGTATAAATTCGATTATAATATTTATTTGCCAAGTTAAAAGCTTGCTTCGAATATTTGACTTAAATAAATAAATTATTTCAATAATAAGCGGGTAAATATAATGTTCGAAGTACGTACATTAAACCTGAGGATGCTAAATAATCTCTATAACAATATTGATTATTAGATGGTAGGTGTGAACTTTGATTATGTGTATATATTCATTAATCTGAATTTTGTAATCTGACGAATATATAAATTACATCTACTAGGATGTAAGTATAAAGTTCTGTCATGAACAAATCTATTTATAATCAAAAATTCAATGAATTATTTCTAAACTATATGCTGATAATTCATCTAATTTATTAGGAAGTAAGTTATATTTATCAAATTTTAAGATAAATTAATGCTAAACGTTTCTATTAATAAAATTTTAATTATCAGTGAGTAAGTATTAAATAAGTAATAAATGAGTATTTCGAAGTTTTATAGTACTAAATAAAGGTTCAAATAATTAATAAATTTTACTATTTCCAGACAGTGAGTGTAGAATACGTTTTTCCATGTTCAGGTTTACAATTGTATCCGTGCTAGACAAACTTCGTTGATATAATTTATATTGATTATCAGAAAGTATGAAGTTTAATTATTTATCATATTTTTAAATTATTAAAACTAATAACAAAATTAAATAAATTTCATAAATTACCAGAAAGTAAGCTAAATATAATTAAGTTAAATATAGATTATAATTTGTTAAAGCTAATAAAAATTATTAAAATTACTTGAAATACTAGAGAGTAAGTATTAATACGTATAATACTTGAATTAGTCAATCCATAATCAAATACTAATTAATGTTTCAAATTTATTATTAACTTATTAGGAAGTAAGTCTGAATATCATATATTTGTACATTATGCTAATTAAATTTACAATGACACAAATTTTATTAAATACGTAATAGGGAGTAAGTTAATTACTTTTGTATTTATAAATTTATAATGATTTACTAACAAATGATAATAATTAATTAGGCTGTGAGTGTAAAATTGATACTATTAATCTATTTGATAAAAATCAATGCTGGAGACTATTAAAAAATTTTAGGATGTAAGCTTAATTCTATATTATTTTATTAATGCAGAAATTCATTCTCATTTGATGTTTAACGATATTCTAATTATTATAATTTCACAATAGAGCGTGAGTGTAAAAGTTTACGTATATAAGTTTATATGAAAATTTTATAATTAACGAATATCTAAGATATATTAAATTTGTAATAGAATGTGAGTGTAAATTTTATTATATACGTCCGTTTTAAGCCAGAATTTCGCAATATATTAACATTAATAATTCTTTAAATAATCATAAAATTATATTAATCAAGTTTGTGAGTAAGAAGTTTGTTATCTATGATTACCTTTAATCGGAATATTAATAAATTATTGTTAAATAATACATGTTTTACTAGGAAGTAAGTTAAATATTTCTTATGTTTGTCTTTAAATGGGGAATCGCCATAAAAACTTGCTAAATAGTTTCATTTTAAACAGTAAGTAAGTATTAAGTACGATTTCGAATGGATAAATCAGAATTTACAATTATTTGATGAAATAACAATAATTTAAATTACATTAATTTACCAGGAGGTGGTATAAAGATCAATTTTGTGTGTATATTAATTTGTTAAATCCGGAAAATTGTTAACATATATAATATAAACCAAAGATGGTATAAAGTTCGATTAATACTTCTACATGATCAGAATTTTAAATAAATTAACGCTAAACAATGCTTAAAACGATTATACAAACTACCAGGAAGTAAGTTTATAGTGTTTTATTAGTCTTATACAATGAATTAGACTAATTTTTAATTAAATAAATTTAATCAAGCGCCAATCCGTAAGTATAAAGTTCTATTGTTGTTTTCTTTTATTAAATAGAATACCATTTAATCGAGCCGTAAATTCATTAACAGGTGAGTACATAGTCAGTTGCTAATAAATCAAAATTAACCAATTATTAATAATTAATAAAATTACAGTGGGTGAGAAAAAAAATTATTACATTTTTAGTTCAAAAATTATCAAATTATACTATGGTTTTATATATTACAGAAAGTGGGTTTGAATATTTTTTATTTCCTAAATTTAATTTCATAATAAATTGTTGCTAAATGATATTTAAAAAAACTATCAGGGAGTGAGTATAAAATTCGGTTACACGGATGGTTCATTAAAATTATTACCAAGTAATACTACAAATGACATAATAAAATTTTATACCTATTTAATTTAGTGGCAAGTAAGTATAATGTTAATTAGGGTTTGTTTAAATAGAATTTCATCACATAATCACTGATATGTAAATGATGTCAACTATCAGGCAGTAAGTAGAGAGTTTTTCTATTAAATTAGTTCATGGTAAATTACTGCTAAATGACAATAAATTATTACATAAATATTAGGAAGTAAGTTTAAATGTATTAATTTTAAGCAAGAATTACAAATGTGCTAATTTTCACCTATTAACTACTAGCTTGTAAGCATAATGTTTGAATTCGCATAATCTTATTGTATTAAATT